CTCGCGTGCGTCGCATGATGCCCTCCCTTGCGCGTTCGGCCCTTGCCGCCTGGACCGCTCCGAACTGTCAGCCGTGCGCCCGGTCGCCCATCTCCTTGTCATGCGTCGGCGAGGGGCGCGCGCCCAAAGGCAGAGCTGCCCATCGTGGAAACTCGTAGTTCGCTGGCACCGCGCTTCTGCCGCCCGTCGGAGGCCCTGTGGGAGTCCGGGTGCGCTTCCGTCTGGAGGCTGGCAGATGTCCGCCGTCGCTTCGGGCGCGCGCTGGCGCGTGTCAAATCAACCTCTGTTCTCGATCGCCGCCTTCGCTGCCCTCGTCCTCCTCATACCACGCTCCGAGTTCCCGACCGCGTCGCCCCCGTCAATGTTGCCCCTGTCCCTGCCCTGGGCGTCCCTGCTTGTCCTTCTCGGCCTCGCTGCGCTTGGCCCCGGTCGCCCTCGTCCTCGAGCGCCCCCGCAGCCGCGCCAGTGAGCCTCTTGGGGAGGGGGGCCAGGGGGCGCGCCGCACGCCCCGGCGGCGCTCGAGAAGCCCGCGCCCGAGGCCGAGAAGAGGCGGGGCAGGGGAGGGCCTCGTCCACGGGGAGGTGGATTGAGGGTCGAGCCCGGGAGAAGGGGAGCGGGGAAAGCCTCCTCCCCGACGGGGGGTGGGGATAGGTAGAGGATGGAGGGGGGTTCGTGGGCTCGAGGTCTTGGGGCCTGCTCTTGGGGCTCGAGGCCTCCGCGGGTGCCCCCGAGGGAAGCGCGGAGGCCCTTCCCCACGGAGGTCCTCTCCCACTCAGGAGGGGAAGGCGGTGGTCCTTCCCCACTGACGGCGGGGAGGATGGATGCATTCCCAGGGGTTGCCAGTGAGCGGGGCGGATGGTTCTCCCTCCTCCTTGTCCTCCCTCTTCTGTTTCCCCTCCTCCTCCTCTTTGTCCCATCCTCGCTCCCCTCTCCTTCTATGTCTATCCCCTCCTTCCTGGTCCTACTTACGCTCTCCTCTTCCTTTGCCCCGCTCACCTCTTAGCCGCTCAAACAATGTACTCATTTCAAGGATCGAATGGAGTAGAGTATATAGAGTCAACGTGTTCTGTTCTTCCTGTCCTCCATGGGGGCTTGAGGGGCTGTTTGGATTTCTGGAGCCCACGAGAGAACCCCAGGGCGGAGCTTGGAAGGGGCAG